CTTTGTCTGGGACAGTGCTGGTTATTCCAGGGTGAAGCCATAATGGAAACTGTGGTGATGATTTAAGAGTGAGGCATCATGGGTTGGTAGTGGAATTCATCCTCAGAATCATAGAATTGTTAAGGTTGGGAAAGACTTTTAAGATAATGAAGTCCAACTGTCAACCCAGCACCACTTGAAGACGTTAAACCATGTCCTCAAGTGCCACATCCACATTTTTTTTGATATTCTACCACTTCCCTGGGCAATCTGTTCAAATGCTATATGTCCCTTTCCATGAAGTAGTTTTCTCTAGTATCTAATCTAAACCTCCCCTGGCAGGACTTCAGGCCAGTTTAGTTTTCTGGAGTAGATACTGCCTTGCAGTGCTGGAGATGGTTACTGTGTAGATGCAACACACTGAAAGTATTCCAAATTTTTTCCCATTATATTTTATTTTTGTTATGGATTGACTTATTCTGGGCAGTCTACATCATTGCAGTAGCATGAAATTGTTTATCAAGACCCTTTTTGCCCCAGAAGCAGAGTGTTATTCCAGAGAATCTGTGTTGGAGGACAAGGCAGATGTTGCAGACCTGTCTGTACCCTGCAGCTGAGTGTGGTGCAAAGATCACTGATGTAGATCTAAGCAAGCGGGTCTGTCCACCTGAGGCTACAGAGTGCCAGGGATACTTGCTTAGGGCCTGAATACAACACAGCATATTTGTTGATAAAATGTCTATAAAATCATAAATGGCACAAAGAAGGGGAATAGGGAATGACTGTTCCTGGTCTCTTCCATAGAGGAGGAGATAACATTGCCATCAGTTGATAGTAATGAAAGAGAAGTAAAGAAGCAATGGCAGGTGTTTCAAAGAACACATGGTTGATCTATGAACCTTCTTGCCACAGGATGTTGCAGGTGCAGGAGGTTCATACACGTTGAAGGGCCAATGCCCAAACTCATGGAAGAGAAATCCATTGTGTGTTACTAAAATCAGCCAAACCTTGTCTGACTTAGGAAATCCCTGAGCACCAAATAATGAAGCCGGGTATATGAATTCGTGGGGAAAAAGTCATATATATAGTATATATACTATTCTTATTCTTATAGTATATATACTATTCTTATACTCTTCCTCAGCCATCTGCTTGTGGTCACTGTTGGATTCAGGATACCTGTGCGCTGTGTTCCTCTGCACATTCTGGTAGTGGGCTGGTACACCAGCACAATGTCCCTTTACAAGAAAGAGAAAGCTGTTGGGGTTGTCCCTCCAAATGGACCTCACAGAGATCGTAATGAGGAGTTTCACTCTGTGTCTTGTCTAAAAGGCACCATGGAAAAATAAGCTTTGAAGAAGGTTGAGTGGGTCAGAATCTTTGAGAGTTTTCCATCAGAGAATGGACAAGGCCTGGAAAAATCAAAGGCAGGGAATACCCCAACAGAGTACCCATTTGGTGTCAGCCCTTACAGTCTGATTCTTTTTCTCCCTTGCCTATACCTTCCTGCAGTTCTGCTTGATTTCTGTATCCCAGCCATTCCATGGCTTGGGAGAGATGGCTTTTGTGGTGTATTGGTGCTCCACAGTCCAGAACTGGAGCAACACTCTGAGACATGACATTTCTTCTTGCCAAGCTGTTCTTCTTGATGCCAACCCAGATAAGCTCTGTCATGAAGGCCTAAGGAGCTGGGAGGCGTTATAAAAGACAGAGAGAGAACTAATGACATTGCCTCCAATCTAGGTGAGAGTAATTTAGTCTGTCCTTGATCATTCAAATTACATCTAATTAAATATCAGACAAACCTGCTGGCTGTGGTCACACTGCTGTACTGTGGGGACCTTGGCAAACTCTTACTAGAGTAGTACAGACAGTATTTACCTAGGTGTGGTCCAATGAAAAACTCCATCTATACTTTTCTCATTATCTCAGCTTGTCAGGGGATGCATTTCCTATACTCAATTCTAAGGTCTTCTATTCAATCTTCTTCACCACAGAAGAGAAAGAAAACCTGATGTCACACTTAACCTTTCCATTTCTCTTTAAACCTTGTGTTTCTTATGGATGACACAGAGTCATCTCTTTATACTCTGCTAAAGGGCAGGGGCATTCATGCAGAGGAAATTAGGATGAATTCAGGTAGCTGGAATCTGCTTCCAAGGCAGTTGCTTCTGCCTTTACTTGACGCAAGTAAAACCCAGCTACTTGGAGACTGACCCCATGAACTGTGTCCTTTCCTAGTGTTAATGATCCCTTGTGCCCCTCTTCCTCTGGCGGTTACCAGCCTTCCCATTTTTTTCCAGAGGCAGTTTCTGATGTTAAGAAAACAGTGATTTGTTCTAGATTTGAAATTTACTGAATTTCAGAGAGGATTCACTGCCGCAGTTTGCTTTGCATGAGTATATTGTATATTGTTGGATAGATTCTGTAATGCTTAAGTAACGGAGAGTTGAGTCTTTCTTTGGTGTATTTTCTCTTGTATTCCCTTATTTCAGAGAGTTGAAAGCAATAACTAAGGTGCCTATTCCTTAAAACTGTGTTGTATAGGAGAAATATGTGACTCTGATCCTCTTACATGAATCTATTTGTAAAGTCTTATTCCAGCTTCATGAATAAAGTCCTTTCTTCACCCCAGATTCATGGTGAGAAAACAGTAAAAAAGACATTCATCCGATATTAGGGAAAGTGAGAATGACTTGGGGCAGAATAGAAATCAAAATTTCTGGATATTCCGTCTACCTATGTGAATTGGAGGGAAATTAAAGCCTGCTGGTGTCTGTGCTTCCCTATCTGTAACACAGGGATGTGGATATATTCCTATCTTATGGGATATATAATTACGAAGTCTGTGACGAATCTTAGAAATTCAATTGTGAGATAGTGTATAAGCATATAATATTAATGTTTTATAATCTCCGTAAAGTGTCTCTGGGGATATCTTTAATGAGAAAAATATAGTGATATCAAAAGAAATCTTTTTTCACTCCAATAATTTTTTTAGAACCCAAAGTGAAACTTGTTTCCACCAACTGCTATCTCTGCAACCATCTGGAAAATCACATTTTCTGAAGCTTTCCTTCTCTTTATCATCTGTAACTAAAGCTATAAAATGGGAAGATGTTCCTGGTTTAATTAACACCCCTGTAGTTCAAAAGCTGGTCTTAGTAATGAGAGGCAATTATAGGCTTTATTGAGGGACAGTCAGGTAGAACTAACCTATCATCAATCTATTGAAGACACTTCCCTTTCCAGGTAATTTGGAAACTGCTTTTCATGATGAACAGGCTACCTGGCTCAATACAACAGGTGAATCTCTTTCTTTTGTAACCTGAAAAAAAGAACCTCCTATTTTGAGTTCTGTGCTTCTTTTATAAATTCATTTTTACATCCCACCCTTCTGTCAACAACTAGCAACTGAGCTACAGAAATACCTGTTGCTTTTTGGAGGGAATTCTTGTTTGACTTTCTTGTTTTATTTTCCTTGTCCCCTGTTGCTTTACATTTTGAAGGTTAAATCCTTGTGTTCATGTTTTAGTTCTAGTTAAAACTGCAGACTCTGTGGTGCATCCACATCGTGAGGGGTATGCAGGGTTCTGGTTCCTGAACTCAAAAATGATGTGGTAGAGCTATGGAAGATCCAGAAAAGGACATTGAAATGTTCCAGGGAATGTGACTTCTGCTATATGAGTTGAAATGGCTGTGGTAGATAAGGTAGATGTAGAACTTCAGTACTGGAACTAAGGGGCACTAGCTGAAACAAGGAGATCTGCTTGAAATTATAAAATACCTTTTTTACATTGCAGATAGTGAACTTCTGGAATTTGTTGCCACAGGAGATTGAGGAAGTATGCAGTGTCAACCATTTCAAAAAAGGATTAGACAAATTCAGAGCAGCAAATATATTATATTAGATATATTAATCTTGAATTGAGTTCTGTCCCAAGATTTCTATTATAATGATTGTAGAGAAATAGTTGTCTACTGAGAATAACTTATTGACTGTTTTAGACACTTCTGTGTACACAAGAGGAGCTGCCTTTTTGAAGTACATTATTTCTACTCACAGACTTTAAAGGGACTCTAGATAGTGGTGCCCATATGGTCAACACATACCATGGCCAGGTGGGTCCTAGCCATCCCATTTTGGAGACTTTGGTACCATACCTCAGAACCTCAGCTATAAGGAATGTAGATTTTTAAAGCAGTGTGATATGAAAAAGTGAAATTATGATTTCAAAACAGACCCCCATTTATGGTTTGTTTTAGAATAAAGACCTAGCTATGATTTTGTCATCAGTAAACTATGCTGTAAAATGTGGTACATCCTCTTTCCTGGATTAGTTTAACATCCTGGTGAAATTGCCTTTGCAATTCTGTCAAAGCTGCAAAACTATGGAAAAAGCTGATAAGTTGTTTATTCTTCAGTAATGAAAGACAGAAAAAACATTAAATCCCTAAACTCCTATGGTGTTCCAGCAATGACTTTCATAAGATGTCAAGGAGAAAGGCTTATTCAGTATGGAAGAGTTTGAAAAGGAATTTATTTGGTTCGTGCATCTGTGGATGTTGTAACTGCACACTATCAGCAGACACAGAACTTGAATGCCATGAGTGTACTCTGGTTTTGGGACAGGGCAACTACTCTCAAAAACACAACGAGAAAGTCCATCTATTTCCAAAGTTTCCACTACTGCATGTGATACAGGACGGACATGAAACTTCTTCAGTGAATTAATGTGATATAATCTTATTTAGGAGATTGAACATTGTGTGAGGTAGGAGGGATTGCCCATTCTTTCCTCTTTCCCATTTCTGTGTGAACAACTTTGTTGTGTCTTATTTACTTCAGACACAGGATGTGGGGGAGGAGGTATCAGAAGATCGTGTGACTGCAGTGTTCCTGTAGCTTTGGATCTGGCTGTGGCATCAGAGCCTCTGTGATTCACGTGGCTTATGTGAAGGGGGAACTGTAGTCATCACCTGCCTTGCTGACTGTGCTGTGTTTTCGTCCCCCCTCCCAGGTTACGGACATGCTGCCCCAGGGACGGACGCGGGGAAGGCCTTTTGCATGTTCTACGCGGTCCTGGGGATCCCACTGACACTCGTCATGTTCCAGAGCCTGGGCGAGCGCATGAACACCTTTGTCAAGTACCTCTTGAAACGCATCAAAAAGTGCTGTGGGATGAGGAGCACCGAGGTCTCCATGGAAAACATGGTCACTGTGGGTTTCTTCTCCTGCATGGGGACACTCTGCATTGGAGCAGCAGCCTTTTCCCAGTATGAGGAATGGAGCTTTTTCCATGCTTACTATTACTGCTTTATAACATTGACTACGATAGGGTTTGGAGACTATGTGGCCCTGCAGACCAAAGGGGCCCTTCAAAAGAAGCCTCTCTACGTGGCTTTTAGCTTTATGTACATTCTAGTGGGGTTGACAGTCATTGGGGCATTTCTAAATCTGGTTGTTCTCAGGTTCTTGACCATGAACAGTGAGGATGAGAGGCGGGATGCTGAGGAACGGGCGTCCCTGGCAGGGAACCGCAACAGCATGATTATCCACATCCAAGAGGACTCCCAGCATGGTCGGCCACGGTACAAGGCCGAAGTAACAGACCTTCAGTCAGTTTGTTCCTGCATGTGTTACAGGTCCCACGAGTACACCAGCCGGGTGGTGTCCCACCAAAATTCTTTCAGCTCAAAGCTGAACCCCCAGTACTTTCACTCCATCTCTTACAAGATAGAGGAGATCTCGCCAAGCACATTAAAAAACAGCCTTTTCCCATCTCCTGTCAGCTCCATCTCACCTGGGTTGCACAGCTTTACAGATAACCACAGGCTGATGAAACGGCGAAAGTCCATTTAAAGGGATTTGTCTTTTGCTTTCTTTGTTTTCCCCAGTTCTTCTCTGTTGTTTTGGGTTTTTTTGTTCCTTGAGTGAGACAGAGTGAGGCCAAAGGGAGTAGAGCAAGCCAATCCTCCTCTGAGACTCAGCTCTTGAGCATGAAGCATGGATTATTACTGTTCCAGCAAAGTATGCCTTACATTACCCCCTCGGTGGATGTCAGAGGATTCAAGGTGACGTGAAGTGGGTACCAAATCCAAAGTTGCACACACAGCTGGGAGCCTTCATGTGCCACTGGCACTCCTGACCTAACAAACTTTTTTTCCTCACGAGCAGGTTGCAGTGTGGGTGTGTGCTTTGCGTATGTGTCGGGTGTGCGTGTGTGTGTGTGTGTGTGCAATTCCACAACTAGTGCCATGTGACAAAAATTAAAGCATCAGGTATTATTTTTTTTTTTTTTTGCCCTTGAAGCAATTGTGTTCCAGCCTGCTTTTTAGATTGCTTCCAAAAACGAACAGGGAGGGTGGGAGGGGAGCCAATTTGTTTTGGGTTTTTTTTGCCAAGACGAGCATGCGCCATAAGCAGTCAATATACCAGATGTATCATGATAAATTTTTTAATGCTAGATTTTAGATTGTATTAACATTTAAAAAAGGCAGGAAAAGATGGATCATTTTAGCTTGCCAGTTCAAAATTAAAAAAAAAAAATAAAGCATGCACTTTGTAAAACTGGTATGCATAATAAAACACAAGAAAAACTAGCAATGGAATTAATAATCAAAAGCAAATAATCCTATTGATTTAACTATATTTAATTTTAAAATTTTCAACTGTTCCAACAATTTGAAAGTGGAATTTTTAAGATAAATTGGGAGAATTGTTGGAACAAAAGAGTGTATTTTGTTATTTTAATTTTATTTATAAATTATTATTATTATTATTATTATTATTATTATTATTATTATTATTATTATTTTGTGCAGCAATTACCTGCATGAATAGGAATTATATTTTTTGGAATGCTTGGTTAAGATGGGTATAAATAGGAGGATGTATATTTTTTCTTATATAATAGTGACAGGGCATTCCTTGTTTTAAATAAAAACTGAAGATGATTGTCTCTAAATGCTTTTGATTTGTAAATAATGGAAAGCCTTTGTTGGTCTCAGGAAGAATTCAAGGGACAGTATCTTGTGTTTGGCTCACTGGGAACATGTGAGATTAGATGTGACATTGCTTTTTTTGCTAGGCAAAGGCAAAATGCATTTAGCAGTAATGGGTAAAAATAGCTTTACTCTAGTGTTTGGAGGGTAACAGTGGGAGTGGTTGCCTTGGCAAGTTGTGGTGGAGGATGTTGAGACCATGTTTGTAGAGCTGTTCCTTGGACATTGTCCATCTCTCGGTTGTTCATCTGGACCAAACAGACTTTATAGAACTGAATTAGAGGCCTAATCCAGCTCCCCTTTAAAACAATAGGAATTTGCAATGATTACATGGGATTTAGTGCTTTTGGAGATTTATCTTTGATTTTAAAAGGGTAGGACTGGGAGTTTTATAAACCTGCACCTTTGTCTCTGATTTAATTCTATCTTTTGAATTGCCTTCTATGTTAATTTGCCATACAAACCCCATCTCTTTTTGGCACTAATCACTTACTACCGATTCTACCATTTCGTGCTCTCAGTGTAAAAGCAATAATCCTTTTTTTTACCCTTAAAACTAGATGGTGTGTGCACAGCTCTGAGCTCTGTGTGCTGATGGATGTTGATATCCTTTCAAAGAGGAACCTATAAGGAGTATTAATAGGGAGAAATAAGGAATGTCCTCCTCTATTCTCTTCTACTTGGCTTTAAATTATTAACTATCAAATATGTTCATGTTCTTCACGTCTGCCTTTCAACAAGTAAATGAAAAGCAAGTTATCCATGACTTTGACTCCTCTATGCAGCTTCCTTTGGGCTTAGAAATTGCTGTGGCATGAAATCCTCCATTAAGGTTAGTGAAGAAACATCTTAGGATTCTTAATGAGGATCGATGAGGATGGACTTCTTCAGAGTAATGTGTGGGGCATGCTGGGGGCATTAATGCTGTGCTGCCAGTACCGTGTCCTAAGGCAAATGCTCATGGCAAAAGGATTGAAGCAAACATACCTAAAAAACCAGTTTCAGGATGTGTTAAACCCCCTCTAGTGTTTGCTACCTAGAAGCTGGTTCCTGTGAGAGTAGCCCACGGGGTTCACAGTGCTCTCCAAATTCACTTGCTTCATCTTTGCCTGTGTCATCCCTGAAGTGCAAATAAATGCAGATCTTTTTTGCTGCTATGGAGATAAGAAAACAAATGCCTGGAATTTAGACATCTATATCTTGTGTCAGGTGGAATTCTGTCTGCCTGGCAAAGGAGAATTTTTGTAACAGGACTTTTAGTGAAACCTTTAAACAGAAAAAAAGCAGTTTCATCTTATAAAACATTGGTTAACCTTTTTTCTCTTTTCCTTTAAGAAGAAATCGCTATTTCTGCCGCATGTAAAAATAGTCTTTAAATGTCCTGTAAATCATGTTCAAAACTTCACATACATTATTTGATTTGTTACTAAATCTTCCCTCTGGAACCACATATGAAGAGTAAATTTTAATACATGGGGTATTTAACCAGGGGAGAAACTTACCTCAGCATGTCGTGGGTTATCTACCACTTAGACTCTTTACATTAAAACTCAGTGGCTTTATAATAGCTCTGCTTTAGCTTAGTTGAAGTTTATAGAAGTAGTTGAAGAAATCTGTGTATGTTGATATGAAGGAGCCAGAGTAGATGTCCATAGCCATACTTTTAAGTCTAAAAGCTGTAATGAGTGTGTATGTGGGAAAGTGTTTTGCCTGAATGTATCTGCATTCCTTGTATAAAGTTCTGGGATTTTCAAATAATTTTTTTATTTTTATTTTCTGACTGAAGAGCCCACAGTTCTGTCCAATCTGTTCTTTTGTAACACATAGGATTTTGAAGTGGCATAGAAACTCCTTTACAAGGAGACTCCTGCAGGACTTTGCTTTGTGAGCAGCCAGAGGCACAAGAACTCAGTAGACATCACACTGTAAACATCAGTACACCAGGCAAAATATGTCTTTCTCTTTAGTCATTTTCGTGGCTCTTGACTGATGTGTGAATACTGACTTGGTCTGTCTGGAACTGGAACAGACATCATCATGAAAGGGAAGCTTTCACCCCAGGTTAATCCCAGTTTTTCAGTTAGACATGAAAAATCAGTCAGTGAAAGGTGAGTTGACTTTTGTCAATTCCATCTGTGACTCCTTATTGCCCTGTATGAATAACAGTTTTCTTCCCACAACACTGTTTTTCACAGAATATTTAGTATCTGATTTATTTTACTCCATTTAAGACACTATTTCTTTCAGAACAACTTCTCTTGCTCGCTACTCACTCCTTTGAAACTCAGCTAGAAGCAGGTAGTAGTGGTGCTGCTTATGACTAGACATCCTAATGTCTGCTATCACTTTGTGATGCACTCTCATTCCCCAGAGTCTCATTTCCCCTACCCTTCTCTATTATTAAGCATTAGAAATAATAATAATAAATCAGATTAGTCTATTTGTGTCACACTAACGTGCTCTTCATCAAAACAACACAAATTTAGCTCCCTGCTGTCGACTTTGATTATATAACAACCCTATTATCCTATCATATTTCATATTATCATCAAAGGGAAAAATCAGTTTGATCAGTGAAGCACCAAAATAGCTTTGACTGAGCATGCTGTGGTATGAGAAGGAAAGAGGAAACTTAACAGAACAATGCAGGCACGAGTCTCCACTTGGTCTTCATTACTGTGTAAGGGAGATCCTGACTGATCTAAGTGGCACTGCTTTGCCAGAACTTTATACATGTATCTGCTTTACAGGGATGACTGTAATGGGACAGCTTAGAAAGTGTGTGTGGATGCTACTTCAAGAGTCCAAAATAGCTTCTAGGTAATGAATGGAGAAACGTACAGTGACCTTCAGCAATAGCCTTCTGTTTGAACTCCTCTGTAACAACTCATTAGGACAAAATAGACATCATAAAAAAAAGAAAAAAGAAACGAAAAAGAAAAGAGGGAAGTAACCAAATTAATCTACTCTATTGTACGTTTTCTCATTAGTTTCCTAGTGGTTTAATCAACGAAATGCCAGGGCAGTAATCAAGATTATTGTGAATCAGACCTAAGCAAAGTAATTCCTTGTTTTCTCTGACAGATTTGAAAGTTTTTATTACAGAAAAAAAAGCTTGATTTGTTGCTGAAAGCTTAAAAAAAAAAAAAAGCAGTCAGTGGAACCAAGGTGGAGAACAAAAATGTTCCAGAGCTATTTGGTGTGTACAGACCAGAGGGCAGGGGCTTGGGTGGAAGTAGCTTTTAGCTGAAGTTTATGTCCTCATTTAACTTTATGTAATATTCCTGTTCATATTAGGATCTAATTAAGACAGTCATTGAAAATCTTTATGAGGAAGCGGGATGAGAGAGATGTGTTGGAGTGTGTCCATTACACTAATGTTATGGACTTTTTCATGCATATTTCAGCAAGACACTATTACTGACTGGAGTATTGCACAAATTACAATGAGAATCACACCACTGCTACTTCCATCAGCCAAAGATATGTAACACTCGGAGAACTGAGAAAGGAAATATTGCCTTTCTGACCAGTCTGCCTGTCATCTAACTCTGATATAAAACTTTGTTTTGGGTACTTCAGCAAGATAAAGCATTTGAAAAGGAATAGCCATCATAACGATTCACCAAAATTGAAACAAATGGAATGATGACATCGGACACAGAGAAATTGATTACAGATGGCAGGTGCCCTGGGACTCCTATGCTAGTTAATCTGAGCTCAGAAGCTGAATTAAACCCAAGAAAAACTGATGGAACTCTTTGCCAAAATGCAGTTTTCAGTTATTTAAGGTGCGTATAATGAATATGGTAAAGGAATATTCACCCAAAAAAAGTAGTAGGAAGGCAAAAAGAAAATTGGGAAAAAAGAAATTGTTCTCAACAGCAGAAGTAGTTTTGTTATTTCCAGTTGAAACTGCTGTGAGATGATGCTGAAGAACTGTTACGCTTTCATCTGTGTAGAATCAGTCTGGGAGATTGACTGTCCTCTTCTCAGTCCAGGCCGACACCAGTGTTCCACTGACTGCTGCTGATAAGATTCGTGGAGTTCCTGATTCTCCAATCAGGTTTTTGATGCCACCTCCACTGAAACCAAGATTTTATTCAGCCAGTCCCTCCTGAGCAGTGCTGATCTCTGGGATGTGTTATGTTAATGATGCTATTTCCTCTTCCTGGTGCTCCCAAGTGCAAGAGCTCAGTAGGACATAAGCAAACTCATTCCTTATCTAAAGCCTGCTGTGGCAGAGCCTTCCTCTGAAGCCAATTGATTTGGTGCAATGCAATGAATCCTGATTTGTGTCCTTTTACTGAAACTGAAAAATTTTCTATTTACTATTAGATACGGTGTCAGTGTCTCCAACTGCTGCTCACCATGTTTCCTAAACCTAAGGGAGAGTAATAAGACCTAAAAACAACAGTCAACCTGTATAATTTATGCAGCTGTATTTTGTGTTATGGATTCCAGTCATTCAAAGCTGCCTGCTAATTTTAGGCTGAAAATTGTATCCCTGGAGCCTTCAGCCTTCATTTGTCTCTCCTTCTGTGAATATTGTAATTAATAAATATCCCAAAGCCCTCCTTCACCTTGCTTTCTGCGAGTGTAAGGAGTGCTGCCATGCATTAACACACACAACAGCCTGGGAAAAAAAAGGGGGTGGCGGGGGAAAGATTAATGCTTCAATTTTATTGGTAATTAATATTCACAGTTCCAAGATGAGTTGTCTTTTAGTTCACTTTGAGAAATGTAGAGCAAACAACAGGATGATAACATTTATCATAGCTGGTGAATTCACAAGTGGAGCTGGCAAATACAATAATTGAAACTATGCTCTATAATGCATCTTCCTCATGCATGAGTTCTGATACCACTAGCCTGGCTTTGATTCATTGTTTATCTGGTCTGTGGAACAGCTTGCAGTAATTGCTGTATCCAGAGCATTATACTTGAGGCTAGAAGAGAGATCCATTTCACAGACAGCCACCCTCTGGCTTTCTCCATATTCCCTCCCCGCTTTCTACCCAGACATTAACTCATTAGCTTGCCATTTCATGGACGTATGTTCAGACCCCAGATCACCACATTCTGTATTCTCCCCCCTCCTCTATTAGGGAAAAGCAGTATGCTACAGAACTACACCCTGGGGAAGGAAATGTTCCACTCTAATTACTACTGACAAAAGAAATCTACAGATTGATTAAAAACAATATGTGAGGAGTTAAATAGGAAATGTGATGTGCATAGACCTGCGCGGGTGAGATCCACTTCTTCCGTGGCTGGAATGCAACGCATTAGGCTGTGAGGAGAACTTTGGAGTGTGGTTTTTTTTGGAGCAGGCCATTGGGAGAATGGCCAGGAAGAGTCAGAGTGGTTTGGCTTATAACCTGTAAATCATTGTAGGTCTGTGGTGTGGTTTCAAATTAAGGAAGAACCATGGCCTTCTGGGCTTAGTCTATTTTCTAGTCATCTGTCAGCATTCTCACAAGCAGAAGTGGTAGGATGTCTGGGAAGGATGGACCAGGGCTGATTCATGGTGGAGTGGATTGTCTTTGGTGAGACTACCTTACCTGTGTTGGTGTCAAAGAGGAAGTAGGGGAAATTGTGTCTTCCAGAGCATCTTCCCTCTCATATTCCATGGAAAAGATCAGTTGCATCAACCCTCCTATTGCCTGCAGCAAACCTGAAAGACCTGAATTGTGGTATCCTTACCCACCTTCAGTAGTACCTCCCCAAAATGTGTGGGAAATACTAAGTCATAGGAATGTGTGGGAAATGCTAAGCTTCTCCAGCTGGGTTCAGGAGGTCACCATATAGCAAAGAAACCTCTTTGTATTGACTGTGTTTGGACAGTTTCTACATGTCAAAATATCATCAAAACTGACCTTTAGAGAAATAACATTGATTCATTATTGCTAGCTCTCTCTACAGAGTGGGTATGTAGCCTCTTAATCATAATTATTGTTCAGAGGATAATTCATCTGATAGCAGTATTTAATTAGATTATCTGAAATAGACTGTGTAAGTGATTTTGGCCTCCCAGAGTTTGAAATTGCAACTCTACAAAATGATTTCCAAAAGGCCTATTTGGTAATAGCACTGCTGACACAAAGGTCATGCCTCAGCTGTCCTACTGACAAGCATCATCTTGGCATGTTAACTGGAGATGGTGTTGGGAGTATCTGGGAAAGGGATTTTAGCTCAGATCCAGTATATGCAGTGAGGCTCTTAATTCCCCCTGAGCTAAATAGGTGCTTAAATGGCTTTGTGGAGTTTTGATATGATTTTGTCTTACCTGTAGAATAAAAAAGCGGTGTTGTGTCTTAGATAAACTGATACAGATGGATGTGGAAAGGGCTGTATTTCAGGATGGAGCATGGTTCTAGTATCCATTTGGTGCAACAGTTGAAGTGTCTCAGCTGTGCTGTCTGGAACAGATTATGATTCTAGGAGGAAAGTTGCTGAATACATGTTCAAATATGTCTAGACCACGTGAGGAATGGGCAAGATACAGCAAAGTTTCTATGTCACGAGCCGGATTGATGAGTACATTGATGCTATGGCATATCCTTCTCTCAAATCCTTTCTGAGCAAGGTTAAAAGAAGCAGAGCAAAAGTTTGGATTTCTTTCTGGCCTGGAGTTGATGGTGATGGAGGGTAGGGCTGATATCTAACTTGCATACTGGGCAAGAGCTCAGGGCAGCATTCTCCTTAGGAAGCAAGACATGAAACTTAAGTGGCAGCACCTTCAGATTGATCTGTAGCTGTTTCTTCTATTGTTTCCTTTGAGGTATCTACCACATTTATCTCACCTCTCTGATTTGAAGCTCTTCTCAGAACCCCTTCTGAATGGTGATGTGGTGATTTGAAGTTTCTTGTTCAGCATGCAGCAGTGGGCACATCTCATTGTCTTCATTATGCAAGTCATCCAAATGGACAGCTCACAGCTGAGCTGTGGAGGACAGCTCACAGCTCTTTATGATTGAGGCTACCAAAACCTTGCCAAATTCTTCTGATTGCTCTAACTGTTGTTTCTGCAAAAAACATATATATGAGATCCTTTTAGCAATGCAGTCAGTTGGGTTTTTTATCTTCACTGTACATTCCTTTAAAATTCCTCAGCATTTAAGCTCCTGTTGCTCTGTAGTGACTTATATTTCATGTGACTTCTCTTTGAAAAATTCGTTACTGACACATATGTTTTCCAGGAAAGATGGGTGTCATATTGCTCCTTTTTAGCAAAGCTTCTCAATTCCCAACATGGAGAGACATTGCAGTCAGAAGCAGCAGTAGGAAATTCCTCTTTATCGTTGATACAGCGCCCTTTTTATTCCCTTGGGAAGATTAGTAGAGCAGAGTCTGTTATGGTCATCATTGACCAACACAACAGATATGCTCAACACAACTTAATGATCTTCTCATGGCAATTTACCTCCTTTTCAACTGTTCAGCTGCATTCACATTGTGGCATCTACTTTCTGTATAAATTCTTAGGGCAGGAATATTATTCAGATGTAGGAGGAGATGTGTAATACCCACATAACAAAAGAGGGATCCCAGTGTCCAGGTTACAAGGGGTTTAAGATTCTGTTAATCTAAGAGTTGGCTTTATTAGTTTCCTGGGTACCGCTTGGAGCACTGTTGTTTTGGACTTCAACAAATTTGGTTAATCCACACAGTTATTTTTGGTATAAGTACTGTTGGGTTGATTTTGCCTGAAAAAAGGCAAAAGAGTCCTGTCTACTACTAACATTTTGACAACTAAGAAATAAGCAGAAATTACGAGGCAATGGATCATTCCTCAGAATGCAAACCTAATCTGTCCTTTTTTTACAAAATGTAAATTTCCTAAAATATGCCATACAACCAATAATCCATCTGTTTCTTTTATTTGCAAGGTCAGGAGTGAACTGTGGAAGAAAAAAATGTTTTATTTTTCCTCTTCCCTTGACTTGTTAAGATTTGTGTGGCTGTTTGTTGCCACTGAGGAGTATGGACTAAAACTTTTGATCCTGGTGATATGAAGGCAAAGGAGATGATTTGGAGCTGGATAGGTCAATGGGGAAATGGGAGGGGGGCTTAAGAGTTGTTTCCAGTAGGCCAAAAGAATGTGGATACTGTCTCTTCAAGGTGCAATTACTTACTTCAACAAACTGTTCATCTATGAGAAACAGGGATAAAAGTGTTCAATTTGGGACCTAAGGAGTTTATATGGAAATTCTTGGATTTCTTCCAAACACACATACATGTTGAAATTAAATTGTGAATCCTACTTTGGAGACTGAGCCTTCCTGCTCAGACAGAAGTGTGCGTGTATGTGTGTGTTTGTGAGTGTGTGTTGATGCTATGTCTCTTTTGGATCTCTTGACACTTTTTGGTGCATTTTTGTACTTCTTTGAATGTGCATATGCGGACTTACCGACGGTGTATTGACGGCATTCTAAAGGCCCTCAACAGCCTGAGATAGAGCAAAACTCTCTAAATTTCTACCCTGGTTGATATATTTTCTGTGCAGCACACAGAGCCTTAGGAGCATGGTCATCTAGAAAGAGGAGCTGCTTGGCTGTGGAGACTGCACTGGGAATTTACCTCCTGGAAACTGTTTCCTCTGCTCATTTCAGACCTCTAACTTCAACATAGTTGTTGAGCTGGTCCTAGCAAAGGAGAAAGAGCAGGTCATAAGTATCAAGATGTGATTTATTAAACCAGTGATAACTTGATTACAATGAACCAAATTAAAGACTCTTGTGTTTTCGTTTCTTTTTCTGGCCTTCTCCGGTATGGGAGAGGATGCCTTCACATATGGCCTTAGAATGCCGTACTGGAGTCAGAATGCAACAACAGTCAAATGAAAATAAGATGTATTGCAGCTTACTTAAAGAATGAAAACTGTATCACACAAATGTTTACAAGTCCAAGTAGACAGCGAACCCCTGTACAATATGTAATTTATGCAAGGGATTGCATCTTTCTTTTGTAATGAATGCACTACGCAACCCTGTATATATTTTACAATGTCTTTACAGAGAAAAAAAAAAGAATCATTTACTGTAGTGTTGTAAAATAATGCACTTTTCTAATTTTTTCATTAAAAATCCTATGGCACGTTTTCAAATGTATATTGTTTCTTTTATATTGAATGTGGAAATGTTAACTTCCTGTAAAATTGCACTACAGAAGTAAAATCCACTGATGGAACTTATTTTGTTAAAGAAAAGTCCCTTGACAACCAAGAGATGTTTATGATTATACCATATGTATGTGTGTGCATATATGTGTATATAGTGTATATGTAATGTATATATATATGTATATGCACATACACACATATATCTAGTGATACGTGTATATATAAAATGATATAGGTCCAGATTTATATATGATTGTATTAATATAATATCTATAGATTGATAGATATATATATAGATATGTATATATATTCATTCATACACACAAGAATCACAATGTACAAACCCAGAAAGGATTACTCATTAAATTTAAGGGGGTTGGGGGGGAGAAAGATGTCATATACAGAAGATATTTTGCATTGCAATAAAAGCTTTTTTTGACAAAAGTACTTGCAGAGTGAAGTATGAACCTTCATCCAACACCCAACCCTGCTGTTCCCAGGTGACTACAGGACAGAATAAGTAAAAAGAAGCTGCTTAGAGGAGGAATAAGAGCAGAATCAATGCATGGTGGGCTGGAGTTTGCTGTTGAGACTCCCCCCGCCTTAACTTTGTGGAGCTGAAGGGCAAGATCTTAGGATACTAGACTGAACAGCGTGACTTGTCCAGACTTGAGGAGATCAAAGTTTCACTCACAAAATTATTAATATAGTGCTTCCTAATAAAAGAGAGGAAGTGGATCTCAAGGCAGATACTGCCTTGAGGCACAAGCATGATTCCCCTTTTGGGACGGAGCATTGGGCAACTTGTAAAGTTGTTGCCATCCAGGTAAGTCTCAAGTGAAGGCAGGTACAGGACCTCACTTTGTCCTTATAATGAGGTTTCTACACACTGCTACTCATGGAAGGATTCTAAAAGTTTCCAGAGTTAATATTTCACATTTGAGAAACATCTTACCAATGGGAAGAATCTCCTCTTTTTCCCTTCTTTTTCTTGATGATGCTGTGGCCAGAAGCTGATCCCAGCTGCACAGAGACAGAGAGTGAGAGGTTTTGTATTTCCTTCCAGCAGCCTTGATGAAAAAAATATCTACATGAACAGTGAGAATAGTTAACCATTAGAAAAAAATAACTGGTTGCAGCAAATTTTCCATGACATGCAGTGATACAACACAGACCAATTACCTTGTGTGCTCTTACAGGAAGAAACCATTGTCTTGATGCAGAAAGTATTTAGTAGAAGTCACTGTTCTGTATTATCATATAATCATGGAATGGTTTGTGTTGGAAGGGACCTTAAAGATTATCTACTTTCAAACCCCTGCCATGGGCAGGGGTGCCACCCACTAACCAGGTTGCTCAGGGCCCCATCCAGCCTGGCCTTGAACAATTCCAGGCATGGGGCATCCACAACCTCTCTGGGCAACCTGTGCCAGTGCCTCACCATCAATTATGAAGAGACCTATTATAGCAACAGTGAGACAAGCTTGTCCTTATAGCCTTCATCTGCTCTTCTATATATGAGCCTCACTTACAAATGAGTGAAGAGCCAAGATGTCCTGTGTGTTGGGACACAGTCAGTGTCCTACACACCTTTATTTAGTACCCGGCCTACATTAAAACAACAAAGAATGCATGTGAAATCTTCATTTTTTGATGGTGAAGATGGGAATACTTATGGCACATAAAGGAGAAAACCAGCTTTAACAACAGAGAGAAAGATACCCAAGCACTCTCATGTGTTTTCTGTGCTGCAGCAGATAACATCTCTGTTAGCAGTTAAGATCAACTATTTTTTTCTTTTGGGAGTGGTATTTGACAGCATATTTTATCATTTCAAGTTATCCAGAAAAGCCAAAGTGTCGTTGAACCCCGTTTACTGCTTTTGCAATCAAAAAAACCTTTTAGAGTAATTAATTAAGCAACCAATAACATAGGCTAGAAGATGATATTTTAAAGGGCTCCAGGTAGTATACAAGAATTTGAATAAGACCTTGTATGCTGAACTTTTCTTAACAACCACAGAAATGTCAGACTTCAGGGGATAAGAGGAAAAAAATGCAGGAAAAACCCTTCAATCTTTCATCTATGGGTCTATAAATATCTTTATAAATCTGAATCAAAGTCACAGATGCCTGATTGTTTGGGATTTGGCTGCTGCCATGTGCCTGGGTCCTGTCTCATAGGAGGAAAGAAATTAAGCATCCTGCAGCAAAATGCAAGAGCCTGCTCAGTACACATCAATTGCTTGGTTGACAGCAAACCAAATATTTCAGTCACTGAAAACAGGTTTTTGTCTCTAATCATGCTGTGACCAAATCACTGCATCTTTCTCACCTAAGGCAATGTCTTCAGTTAAGCTTGTCTGTTGTAAAAACTGTGGCTTTTGAGAGGGGACAAAAGAGGGAATTGCAGTGGAAGTGTACGAAATAATGAGCAGTACAGAAAAAATGAGCTGTCTCACTCTCCCAGGACAAAGCAATACCCAATTAAACAGAAACCAAAACATTTAGAAGTGAGAGAAGAAAATATTTTTATTTCTGTTATTAAAAAAATAAATTTAGGGATAAAAGAAATACATATTTCTAGGATATTCAGAGACAGGAAAAGACCTGTTATTTGATTAAAAGACAGAAAACAAAAGTTCTGGAAGACCTGCAATCAGGATATCTATCCAAATTCAGCCACTGAAGGAGATATAAAAGACTAGTTGCTGCTGGAAGGTGATTCTGCCTCTATACTCTGATCTTGTGAACTCCGCCTGGAGCACTGCATCCAGCTCTGGAGCCCCCAACATAAGAAGGACACGGACCTGTTGAAGTGAGTCCAGAGGGGGCCACAAAGGTGATCAGAGGGCTGGAGCCCCTCTGCTCTGAAGACAGGCTGGGAGAGTTGGGGATGTTCAGCCTGGAGAAGAGAAGGGTCCAGGGAGACCTTAGAGCCCCTTCCAGTGCCTAAAGGGACTCCAAGAGGGCTGGAGAGGGACTTTTGACAAGGACATGGACTGACAGCACAAGAGGGAATGGCTTTATACTGAAAGAGATTTAAATTAGATATTAGGAAGAAACTCTTTACTGTGACAATGGCTGAGGCCCTGGCACAGGTTGCCCAGAGAAGCTGTGGATGCCCCATCCCTGGAAGTGTTCAAGGCCACACTGGATGGAGCTCTGAGCAGTCTGGTTGGGTGGAAGGTGTCCCTGTCTGCGGCAGAGGGGCTGGAATTAGATGATCTTTAATGTCCCTTCAAATCCAACCATTTTATGAGTCTATGATTATATTTAGACTATCCTTGGCTCCAGCATTTTACTGCTGGGAAATGCTGACTATTGAAGGAAAGGAAGAAAATGTCCCTATAGGTGAAGCCAATGCACTGTACCACTTACATAGTGGCTGTTGATTGAAAACTCTTGGCTTTAGCACGTGATATGTATTCAGATGACCTGTCCTGACTTAGCTCTATGGTTGTTTCTTCCGAGTCTGACTGAGATGGGAGTCACTTGGTTTCTAAGAGGGTGGAAATGCTAGAGATAGATCCTACTGATCTACCACCTCAGTCTATATGGACTCTACCTGGAGGTTAATCTTTCCCTTCTACCTTCTAGTCAAGGTTGAGAGGAAGGAAAAA